AAAAGGCCTAGTCCTGGGGGTCTCAGGAAATTTGGTCCTGCAGTCGAACCATGCAAAATCAAGAGATTGCTTAGATCCAGTTTTGTAGAGGATACTTGGGGCTATCTACCCATGAAAAAAAACCACTCGATCTCTATGTAAAAATTTTGGATTATGAGTTGGTTTTCCAAAGATCCTCTTGAAAAACCGACTTTGAATTTTTTTTTCGAGAGTGTTTTTACATGGCTATATGCAAAAAAGTATTGGCTATCGATCTGTGAAAATCGGAGATCGATATCTCTTTCCATGGGGGAGTTATTCAAAAATTAGTCAGGGGCATTGCTTTTTGAAAACGATAATAGCTTTTTTATAAACTGGTGCCGGTCCTGCACATTTTTAAAGCATTGGTTCCGTCCCCGATCATCTCTACTTCCAGAAAATGTAAGCTTTTTTGTCCGTCAAAAATTTTCAGGATGACAATATTTTATTGTCGTTTCATATGTACGAAACTCTGTAGTACTATTGCTATAAATCATAGAAGTTTGTTAAATTTACTGGACTAATCAACAAGAAGAAGATAAAAGCTGAAGAGATAACCACTTTCAGCTTCAAGTATTCGCCAAAACTAAAAATAGATTTGAAACTTTATTTTCAACCGCAAAAGATAATAATTTGCTGAATACACAGTCTGAAAGATCGAAACGTGTTATACTTTCAACCGTTCTTTTATAATCGACTAAACGCCTAGTTTTGATAAGGAGAAAAGTAGGAGAAGAATGACCATAAGACATAGAAAGACGTCCAACGTAACGAACTGACGAGTCAGGAACTTTGCAGATACCAAGGACTCCATTGCTTCTACAATTTAAGCATAACTTTTTCTTACGCCGGTACTTGAATCGAGAATGTATCATTTATTTTTTAATTATTTTTGTTCAGGGTTACTGGTGAAATAGTTTCGACCACGTAATTTGTTCGATTTTCACCAAACTACGGCGAAAACCTGAAATTTGATCGAACTCAATGAGCGACACAGTAATTTGCTTGATCAAGACACGATTTGAATTTATAATTTCCAATGAAGACGTAATGGTCTTCAGAAGAATATAGTTCAGTTTTGGCATTATACCTTTCAGTGAGACCTGTTTTCGATTTTGATTTTCATATATTGTCGGCAAACTGAAAACGTCTGAAACGGGCACACGAGGAATCACTGTGATGTAGAATGCTTGTTTTTCCTCCGCTTTGTACCATTTCTTGTTGTTTAAACTAACCGAGATACTGAATATCGAACATAAGGGTAAAATGCTGGTTGTCCGATCGATGGAGGCAGATAGGTAATAGTCTACACATAGAATGATTCAGTCATACAAATCAAATACTCTATGATATCAATTTCTAAAAATCCTTTTGGATATTCATTTTTGGTAAACTTACTATCAAACTATCAACTGATTTAGGCGCATAAATCTCCCTATAACACAGCCTTACAACAAAGCAGAGATGAGGCTATAATGTGCAAATTTCAGTTAATTATAAGCGGCAATAATGCTTCAGTGACTATAGTCATCGAAGGTGTTGTGAAGAGTAGAAAGGACGGCTGTCGATAAGAGGTAAAATCGGCCCCATCTCAGATCAAGCTCATATTCACAAGTCTGATGTAATTTTTCTCGGTGATTAAAAACTAGCATCTCAAAAAAACTATGCTGTGTGTAAAAGTCTTCTGATACGATTGTATTGATTTTTTTTCCATGGACTGATAGTGTGTGTCCTCTACAAAATGGGAGTCAAGCAAGTACTTGATTTTCCGCGGTTCGGGAGCTGTATCGATTTTCGTACGATTCTCAGGACTAGCATCCGATGACTATTGGTAGCCTTGATAATGGATGAACGATTATCTCTGGTAATGCTGGTACTGGTTCTTTCCTAAAACGATTCAACACAACAAAATTTTCACTTATAAATAAATATAGTATATTTATTTATGAGTGAAAAACTTGATAAACAAATCGTGCTCAATTTTTTTCTAAAAATCCTTTTTTCTTCAGCCTTTAGTGTAGTGCGACTAATAAAACATTTCACCGCAAAAAGCTAACCATGGCTTTTCTTCTACTTTCACAATTCGAGTTGAATTTCTTTTATTTGTTAATAAAATACAGTTAAAGTCGAGAAAAGTAGATGTTTCAGATATTGTTTAAAACTAGTTTTATTTTGTTCTTATTGTACTATACATTTTGTTGTATCATCATCTTTCATTTGCATATCATCTGGTGCAATAGCCTTACCGAAAGGTAAATCACGTCCATACAGTTGTGTCATTAATTTTAGATGTTTTCGTATATCTGTTGTTAATTCAGACCATTTAAAACGCCAGGCCCAGTTTTGTGAACCATCGTAATCTGGATCTGATGCTAAAAAGTTAAAAAATGAACGAACAACTGCAACAGCAGATAAAGAAGGAATCAATGTAAAAGGTTTTACTAAGATAAAGATCGTATTCAGAGAAGTAGGAATGTCGAACTGCTCTACACTTTTCTTTTTGACGATCAATCAATAAATTACTTGATCCTGGTCGATTCATTCTTGGTCGCTCTATTCCCAATAGATCTTGCATAGCTATAATTGCACCATTTGATACTGATTGTAATACCATCTGTATAAGATACCAATTAATATTTTTATTTACATGTTTTTCTAATGATTCACCATTAATTAGTTCTTTATCACTATCCACAGGACGACTAATATAGGCCAAAAATTTTCGTCGTTCACTAGCTGATGTTTTTTTGTTCCACCATAGTAATGCTGGTGGATTATCATGGGTATCTAGAAAAAAGAAAGAGCGAGAGAATAGTAGGTTTAAAAAAAACATACTATACACGAAGCGTTTATAAATGTCTGACTGGGTTGTACATGTAATTACTTTAGTCAGGTCTCAGATTCAAACGACGTAATGTATTAAAAAAAAATGGATCTAAAGTGTTTTTCTTCGATATGAATAATTCGCGATTGCCCAGATAAAATTTTAGAAAAACACAGAAGACACAGACAGACAGAAAAATCGAAGACGTATCCGCTACCATTGATTCACTAAAAACTTTCTTAAGACCACCGTCGACGACGACCTTTTTCTGTGGACTGGTGCCTCCCCAAACATGTCTCCAGTTGTGTGAAAGAAGATTTAAAAAGTTGCGCATGTCGGACTTTAAAAGGGATCGACTAAAGTGTCGGTAACGATTGGTACATGTCTGCTTACCAACGATAGCAAAACTTTATAGAGTTATCAAATTTAACGTGTTCTGGCCCCAGTCATCAATGAGATGAAGTTTATTCAATTGAAACTCTATCCGAACTTATCTCTTTACCTGCTATCCATTTCAGAAACAGTGCCAGTGGGTACTTTTTTGATTAGCTCACGAACAAAAAGAGATAGAAACTTGCGGTTTTGAGCATTTTATATACGAGGCTTTACTGCATCTTTTGATACATAGGGATTTGTACGAATTGAATTTTCAGGCGGTGTAGCTGACATGTGCAAAAAGAAGAGGTTCCCAGGCACCACAGCCAAAATAATGTTTTCACTCAAAGAACATGGTTGAACAGTTCAAGGTGCCCTCCGCAAAACTACGCAACTTCGAGGTTGCTACCTATCAGCCTTTCAGATCCACGGCAATTTTCCTAGGGCCTATCTATCTCAGTCCTATTAGATCTTAGAACCAACTCCACGCATAGATTATCGACTATGCTAAATCTCATGGCAATGTTAGTTTTCAAAATAAAATAAAATCACCTAAAAACCTATACTGGGTGAAATAATACATTTTTGACTGTTTTCATCAAAAATAAAAAAATTCATAACTTGGTCAAAAACCATCCATACTACTTCAGAATATCAACATATACTCTATTTTATCTGTAGTGTACTGCCAAGCTCAATAAATGCTTTAAAAACCAACAGGAAATACTTTGGTTGTTGAAAGACTTTCCAGAAACCTACGAAAGTAAGAGAATATTTTTTAGTAGTCTTAAGTACAGAATCACACTGAGTGGATAAAGCAGAGTATATGTTGATATTTTGAAGTAGTTTGGATGGCTTTTCATCGAGTTATGAATTTTTTACTTTTTGATGAGAGCTGGCAAAAATGGACTATTTCACTTAATATAGGTTTTCACGCGGTTTTTCATTTTATTTTGAAAACTAACATTCCCATGTGATGGTCGATAACCTATGTTTGCAGTTGGTTCTAAGATTGTCAGACCTGTCTCCGTTCTGGAGCCACTCAAAAAATAGCCACACGTACCGTTTTTTGAAATGGATAGTAAAAAGTTATTGTTAATAAACTAGTGCCATGATTTAACTAGGCAAGCACTAATACTATTGTATATCAAACATATCAGGACCAATAATATTAGTCACCCAATATATTGAGTTTTTTCAGTATTAGTGGATAACCTGTCACTTGAATTAAGCCTACTTTTATGAATGTAAATGATATTAAGGTTAAAAAGTTGAGTACGAAGAATGCTACATAAATTTGACTAGTGATCGGATACATTTCTTCAACATATTACTCAATAATATTGTGTAATATCTTCATTAATGATGGGTATTGGTGGATGCCTAGTAAGAAACGCTGAATTTGCGATTGAATGACCTATCACCGAAGCCAAACTATGAGAGGCATGAAAACTAGCATGCAGCGACCAGTACTGTTCCGGTGGCATGGTTATCTACTTATAGAGTGATCACAAAGTCCGTCTTCACCAGCTGAAGTCAGAAAGTTTTTAAACTTTATTATAAAATTACTTCACTTACATAAATAAATAATCACTAGTACCTACTTGTATATGCAAAACTATTCGGTACATAGTTATGCGGACAATACATATTATCTGGATTATAATAGAAACCCATTTCAATAATTCGCATACCCCACAGATGATATTTATCTCTTAATTGATAAACCTCTTCTGTTGTATCACCCAAGTCTTCGACAATCAATGGTACATCTCGACCAAGAGCAGATGTTATGACAGAGAAAAATTCATCACCGCTAAAGATAAACAAACAAAACAAAAAAATGTCATCGTCAACCGCGTTGTCCAAAACTTCTTTCCTTTTTAAAACTGTAGAGAGTGTAATTGTTTTTTTCTCTATTTTTTCAGCAAAACAGCAACAAATTATAATAAGAATCTTCACTTTCATACAGTACTCCGCAGAAGTAACGCCCTCCTGTAACTCAAGTCATGATAGCAATGGACTTCTAATTTTGTGTGGTCATAGCTCTTGCCGAATGCTGGCCAGGTTTGGGGCTCTTTTATTGTGAGGTGCTTTCCATGAAAAATTCATTGAGAAAGAGTATTCGCGATTGAAACATACGCAGAAGAGTGAAACTGAAGAACTAAGAGTCACTCTTTCTACGACGGAATTTGCAATTTTTTCGCTCTTTTTCAAAAAAATATTGCAATTAAGCTACAAACTACATATCACCGATAAAAAAAAATTAAAGTTTGTTTAGAGTTAAAGAAAAGTAGTTTTTCGTATACAGCACACTTGATTACCTGGAAAATTTTCTATTTTTAGCGAGGGTACTGCCAAAAAGTTAAGAAAAATTTTCAAACAAATTGACGCAGAAAAATCTCCATGGTAAAACTATACAATTTCGAAAATTTTTCTTAACTTTTTGGCGGTACCTCTCGCTAAAAATAGAAAATTTTCCAGGTTATCAAGTATGCTGAATACGAAAAGGCACTTTTCTTTAACTCTAAACAAACTTTAATTTATTGTCGGTGATATGATCTAAAAATATAACCAGATAATTAACTAGATTAAACATTTCTCTACAAAATGAAAAGTATCTGGGCTCTGAACGGTGATTCATTATAAAAATACACCCGTTGTACAAAAAGCCGCAAAAATCGATTTTGGAGCTATCTGAAAAACGTGTCTAAAATAGTGAAGTGAAAATTGGTCTGAACTGGTGAAAATTGAACCAATTTGTAGAAAGTTGTTTGCTCTACAAGATGGAATAGCTTATTAAGTTCGAAACTATTCTAATTAATCGGTGTTAATCAAACAAAAATCCTGACGCTATGACAAAAAATGGTCAAAAGTGTCAGAGCGTTACCTTTTTCTGATTTTCTTTGATTAATACCAATTAATTAGAATAGTTTCAAACTTAATAAGCTATTCCATCCTGTAGAGCAAACAACGTTCTACAAAGTGGTTCAATTTTCACCAGCTTGTCTTCACTATTTTAGACACGTTTTTCAGATAGCTCCAAAATCGATTTTGGGGTTTTTTTGTACAACAGATGTATTTTTATATCGAATCACTGTTCAAAGCCCAGATACTTTTCATTTTGTAGAGAAATGTTTAATCTACTTAATTATCTAGTTGTAATTTTAGACTAGTTTGTAGCTTTATTGGAATAATTCTTTGAAAAAGTGTGTAAAAAGGAGACCGTCAGCTAGACAAGCCGTAAGGCAGAAAAGGACTAAAGGAGGAAGTAAGAGAGTAAAGAATTTTGAAATGCTTCCTAAATATGCTGTTAGTTTTGCTTGAAAATAACGAAGATCAGATGTGAGTGTGTAATCTTTCTAACAAAAGTTTCATCTACGTTTTTCGGAACCAAAGGTTTCTGTGATCTTATCTTTTCATAATTATGATGCGCATTGAACGCTGATTCTGTCGTAGAAAGAACTGTCGTAGTTCCTCAGTCGCACTCTTCTACGTATGTTTCAATTGTAAATGCTCTTTCTCAGTTAATTTCCAGAACCACACAATAGTTAACCTTTATACTTTAAGTGGATAGTTCACAATCGTCGAAGAGTATTTGCTGTGAGTTTGAAGTTGCATTGATGTTACTAAAATGCGTTGTGAATTTTTCTTGAAGAGCACCTCATATCTCACAATCTCATTTTCAGGGCCTCGCCCGTAAAATACTTGTATTTCACTGACTACTAACAGCCAACTCACAAAATATTATATTGCAGATAGAGTAGAGTCGTGGCCACATTTTAGTAAAAGGAAAAAGTTTTCATCACTATTAGGTCAGGAGCTATTGATATTTTACGGAAAGACGTAAATCGCTTATATCTCACGAATCATCTAGTAAAACAGGCTCAAACTTGGGCATTCCACAAGACCTATGATCACACAAAATTAGAAGTCTCTAGCTATCATGGTATTTGAGTTACAGGTGGGGATGCTACTTTTGCGGAGTGCTGTATAATCCAAAGTTTACACTACGTTCTAATGATCGTTTTTGTCATAGTCGTGTAAGAATGGTTCTACTGAAATTTCCTTCTTTGGTTTTGAAAGGTATAACTTCTCAGAACTCCTGGTTTATCTAGTTTATTGTATACATCATATAGACTTACGGTGTCTTTTTCCAATGTGCTTTCTTTCCATTAATCGTTTGTTTTTTTATATCATCGACAGGTATAACATAATGTGCTTCTAAACCACGAAAATGATCAATACGTATGAGATCAACATATTCCAATGTTTTTTTCAAGCGTTTTATCCACCAATTCAATAGATCATCTTTAACTGATTGATTATCCCAATCATAAATTGGCATATTCCATGTTTGAACGGCATTTGGTGAACTATGATCAGGTGGAAAACCTAGTTTTGAAGAAAACAGAAGAAAGAAGTAAAAGACGACAAGCAGTTTGTTTAAATGAATCATAGTCGTGCTCCAGACTTGGATCCGATTGAGTAAAACTTCAATTCTTGGCAAGCAGCAAGAATTTTGTACGTCTTTGTTAGCAAATTATCTCTGAACCGCAAAATTTAAACCTTACCCTAGTCTCTTGCAACGAGTACTCGTTTATTCCTGCGGAAAAAGAAGCCCTAAATTTTGTTAAAATAGTTTCACTAGGCACAACATGACCTGTTCGAAATACGTTCTTTCGATCAATGAAAAACCAATGAAAACGAAGATCTGTTGGGACCGATACCGGTTTTGTCGAGCAGGTTCTAACCCTAGAGAGCAAAGAACAAAAGATTTTCGAAAAACTCAGTTATACCATTACAATTTAATGTAGATTTTTCAAATTTATAATATTTTTTTCTTTAATAACAATAGCTCTAGCTGCCTAAAAGTTCACTTACCAGCTAATACAGTTGGTAATAATGTATCTTTATGATCTAATTGAAATAATTTTGTATTTGCCCAAACATCAACTGAATCATAATCAACATACAGTGGTATATCACCAATTATTTTTATTCGACGTTCATTTGCATATGATTTTAATTCAAACCATTGTTTGTGAAATAGATATTGAATAAAGATATAATAATGAATACGTTCTACATTTAATTTGCGAAACAGAGATAATGCTTCGTTTGACTCATTATGATTACCATGACGACGAAGAGATTCTACAGGCCATGATGACCATTTTTCACTATCGGGACGCTAAAAGAATAAATCAGAAATCTGTTGAGTTACAGCTGATTGCTTAATATTTCGTTTACTCGGACCATCTTATTTAAAAATGTCTTGTAACCTTTAGAAAACTAGCAAAATCGGACGGTTCATCTAGCAAAAAGAAAATGCACTTCTTCTGGAGCAGTAGCATCAGCAAGCGAGTAGAAAAGGAAACCACTTGTCCGCACAATCACTAAATCCTTGAAGATTTTAATCGTTGCGGTTTTTCAGCTTTGCTAGCCGGATTGTTTTTGTCTTTTTCAACTTGTTTTTCAAACAATTCAATCAGGAGAAATCAGCACAAAAAACCTCAGTCAATTGAAATGAATAACCTGCAGTCGGTCAGACCGTGAAGTCGCGAATACAACTATCTGATCTATAGATCGAACCTAAACAGTTTTCTTCTGTCAGACATGTGAGCGCAGTGTAACAGGCGGTCTCACTGTTTGTGAAAATGTTTTTGTAATCTATTCTTCTAAGAACTGATGGAAAAATCAGATGTGAGGCAGCCAGCTTTTTTTGTCCGTGGCCAAAAATAGGCGCTTCTTTTGTCAATCGCCCTTGTTTCTTTCTAGGTGAAAAGTGAGATAAAATTAAAAAAAGACAGCTCTTTGTTCTATTCACATGTTTTTGGACTGCTTTAGTCCTAGTGCATGTACTTCACTATACGTATCCGTCCATGTTCATCAATTTCTCACATCTAGTATAAAAGAACTGAAAAAAGTTTCGTTCAAAGAAAAACTTAGATGTTTTAGAAAGAGAAAAACATTTTCCGATGATATATCACTTGTACCGAGTGATATTTACTGAGTTGTATAACAGAGGTGGTTACACCTCTACAAAAAGTGATGTTAAAAGGATCATCGTCATAAACAGCGTAAAAAAAATGAAAAATTTTAGAAAATAAGTATTCGGATCTCACGCTTTCTCTTCATCTAGATCACAACCAGTATTAATTTTACCTGCTCTTTCATTGTCATAAAAATAGAATAATCATCAATCCAATATTTTTCATTTTCATAAAATTCATTTAATTTCTTTTCATTCTCATTGTTATTTTGGCTTGTAGTCATAAATTTTTTATATGCTTTCTCGAATAATTTTTCTTTAAATTCATGTACTTGTTTAAAATAAATATATTCATCAGAAAATTTTAAATCAGTTTTCAAATCATCCTTTTCTATTAAATTTGATGACAATAATAGATCAGGTGATATAAATAAAGGATTACCAGCAGAAGCTGAAACATCTAAACATAAGTAAGGCAAAGTTAAAAAAACAGTTTCTGAGATTAAAAGATCGAATAATTTTACTCGAGGGACATATTTTGTTTTTCATACATGGGTCAAAGTATCATTTAAAAAGTGACTAACAAAGATTTCAAAGTACTATTTACATATTTAAATAGACAGATGGGCACTGCGACTGGACAGAACAAATAAATTGAACTATTACCATTTTTTTGAAAGAATGCCCTTCGGAAGATCGCTTATAACTTTTGAAGGAAAAGTGATAGAGACCTGCGGTTTTCACCGTTGTGTAGAGGGCATCGGGATACGTAAGCGTGTGCAACGACTAGGCTTTCAGGTAAGGTTCACCATGGTAACCCTTTCGATGCATAGTCTACGAAACTACCATACTTGAACCGAACGATGAATTCAATTTTTAAATTTTGTAATTGATAGCACGAAACGAGAACTACAATTCTAGACCAGTATCAACTCTGTATCTTTTACGGTTCAGGTGTTATACGCGTTTCCCCGAGAGCCCCGAAATTGAGGCCCTTGGAAAATGCTTATAGCTTCTGAATCGTAAGAGGCAGAGAATTATGACTGGTCTAGAATTGTAGATCTCGGTTCGTGCTATCGATTACAAAATTTAAAAATTAAATTCATCGTACGATTCAGGAACGATAGTTTCGTAGACTATGCATCGAAAGGCTTACCATGGTGAACCTTACCTGAAAGCCTAGTTGTTGCACACGCTTACGTATCCCGATGTCCTCTACATAACGGTGAAAACCGCAGGTCTCTATCACTTTTCCTTCAAAAGTTATAAGCGATCTTCCGAAGGACAATCTTTCAAAAAATGGTAATAGGTCTTAAAACTTCCTTCTGCTTGCATAACTCTTTCACGTATTATTTTCGTGTTCTTTGTATACCTGAATATGGTGACGGTGAATTTGCCGGTGTTAATGGTAATATTTGCCATAATTTTTGTTTTGTTTCATATAAAAAATCAATAAATTGATATGCTTCTGGTCCTAGATCACCGATCCCGTATGAACTTGGTAAACTTGTTATATGTAGTAGAATACCACTCGAACGTTCTAATTGCATTTTATTTTGTTTTTCTAAGAGAATATTTAGCAGAAGGTTAAATAGTGTATAACCTGACTTTGTATAGAGAACGATAGAGAAAGAAAAAAAGATAAAGGAACAAAAACAAACAGTTATCAACTAGATACACTCAATTTCTGCGTGCATGTTATGTGGAAAGAAAAACAAGACATATGTATATCTCTGTTTGGCCAAATAACTCTGCTACCGCAATATCCTTCCATAACCGGTTTTTCTACATTTTGTGTGTTTTATAGTTTTCGAACAAAAGCAGATTCAAAGCTCTGTAATGTCTTAAACTGAAGCAAAAAGTATGTTTAATATGTTGAGCTGTTTCTACACTCATATGATCTTTCCTCAAATACAAATACCTACTTTTCAAAACTTAGCCAAGAAAGTAGATGTTTATCTTCATCTGTCTGATCTGTCTACATCATGATGTATCTTTTTTCTTCTTTATCTGCTTGATCTACGTGCCATAGATAAAGCAACGATTCCACGCTTCTTGGTGTTGTATATGAGATATCACAAAAGCACTAAATAGAACAGCTCTGCTCTCCACTAGTCGACGTTCTTGAAATTATTCTTTAAGGATTCTTATGTCTTATAAATTCTTTAAGGAATCAGGTCTTTTTTCCTTGACTTTTCTTGACTATTCTTGTCTTGAGTATGTCAAGATTCTTTGAGATTTTTTGTATATCTTTATATACAGAGAAGCTATACACGTGCCAAACAGAACACAAAACTTAGTTCATGAACACAGATAATTGATCATAGTGATGCACTCTAGTTAGTAGACAGTTAAGGCTTTGGTGATAGATGAAAATAACCTTATTGAAAGATTAACCCAATGTATGAAAGAGGAGCTTAGTATGTGCATTTATTCTTTCATGATTTCGCATTTTTATCCTTTAGATATTGTCGTTTTTATTCTCCATCACATTATCTAATTTAGTCTTTTTTTCTGTTTTAGAGTCTCATTCATCTGTTGACGAACTATTGTATTCTTCTGCCCTTGTCTCCCTTCGCCAGTTTCACAAATCTCTGCTACACTTCTGTGACAGCTGTCATCTTGACGAATCAAACGTTATAAAACTCTTAAAATTAATCTTATCTGCTTCTCACAAATGAGTAATAACCCATTCAAGGCTACTAATTAGTAGTTAATATATTCATTGAAATTGTTTAGTTGTCTATTTATTTGTTTATGGCACTACCATCGATAAAAGGAAAAGATTTACCCACATACTAACTTTCTCTTATTAAAAAGTCTGCTTATGACCATATATAGAAACTTTTCCTTCAAAATTTTACAAGTTTCTATTTATGATCGTACCTGCAAAAGTGATCTAATATTATAAGAACGTTTAAAGATTTTCAAGAAAAGATTCCTTAAAGAAAATACAAGAAAAGAGTTTTTAAAGAAAAAAAATCTCATAAATTCTTCATCTATAAGATATAAGAATCCTTAAAGAATAATTTCAAGAACGTCGACTAGTGTCACTGGCTGACAGAGTAAAAGAAAAATACGTAGAAAAAAAAGTTCTTACTCTAGTCGACGTTCTTGAAGCTATTCTTTAAGGATTCTTGCGTCGTATAAATTCTTGAAGGAATCTTTGTTTATGATTTTTCGTTTCAAGATCTTGCAAAGAAAAAACATCTGATTGCTCCTTTTAGGAATTATATAACTGCTTCCTTCAAGAGTTTATCAGATTTTTTTCTTTAAGGAACCTTTCCTTATCCTTTCTGCAAGGAATCTGTTCTTGAAGATCTTTAAAAGTTCTTATAATATTATATCTCTTTTATAGGTATGATCACAAATAGAAACTTGTAAAATTTTGAAGGACAAGTTTCTGTCTAGAGTACAACTACTGTACTTGTAACTGCTATATAAATTGGAGAGAAGTACCTTCAAATTTCTTAACTTTTTAATCTGGGAAGTTGTTAGAATATATACTAATTGCACAGTATGTACAATATCGCTTTTAGATAAAAAGGGACAGTTTTTGATATCTATCGTTAAATATAGTGTGTCATACCGTGAAAATCCACAGTAGAGAATTCGGGTCCTAAAAGTGTTGATAGGCAGACAAGATTTTAGAGTCTCAATTCGCTGGAAACGTAAGGTGCAAATAATGCAAAATGGGGCAGAATTTTTTTTTCGTTCTTTCTGCTATAGTTGAATAGAGCTCATCGAGTTACATAGAAAAAACTTTCTGAAATTATTTTTGGTGGAAAATTTCACAAAATATTGATTTATAAAACGAGACAAAAAGACATGAAATTCTGAGAAATAACCAAAATTTTCATATTTATATCTGATCTATCCTTTGAACCTAATTTTTTCTGATTCGGCATGCAAAATTGACTATAGAAAATCGAATTCGACAGTTTCTATAGTTAAAATGCAGTCAGATTTTGAAAACCCGAGTAGAACCAGAAAAGAGCCTCTGTTCATCTTGCAAACCTGTCTAGTTTTTCTGGTTAAGAGATAAAAAAATTTTCTTATCTTCGCTCGAGTCATCATATCAGTGAAGAAACAGGTAAGGATCCCTTTTTTGAAATTATTGTATCTTTATTGAAAAACTGCACTTTCTTTTTTCATGAATTTTATGCACCGAAATAGGGGTGGTTAACTTCGAGTAAAAACTTGAATTTTCATTGAAATCTTGTCAACATATAAGCATATACGTAAAAAATGATGTAGAATTCAATGGACATAAAATTAAGTTTCGCAAAAGACTTTCAGAAGAGCTCTACAGGTTCTCGGAAAGCTTTTTTGTAAATCTTAGGATTAGGATTCAAAACCATGTGTAAAAGATTTTTGTAAAGTACAAAATGGCTAAGTTCTAAAACGAAGAAAAGAGATCCGAAAATCTCCAACTTTCCAGCTCAAAATCCTGTTTTTTCTAAAATTTGCTTTTCACGTGGAGAGCTACGAAAAAACTAAGTCGAGCATGTTAAAGAGCACCGAATTCTGGCCAGGATTCATGTCTTTGAGAATTTTTTTGATCAAAAAATGAGTAAAAAATTTAGCATAAAATGTTTTCGCTTTTTCGAAAAAACTCTACATTCATTTCATGTTTTTGAAGCTTGCACGAAAACGCATGCCATTCAGTAAAAAAGTGTTACTTTTTGACGACTTTTTTTTCTTTGAAAGCTAGTACACTCGACTACATCTCTGTACACTCGTTCGAGTCATGCAAAGTTTTGTTTGCGGTAGGTTTTCGTGAAAACCCAAATTAAGGCGTTTTGGACGAGTTTTCGGGAAATATCGATTTAATAGGCGAAGACCACTTTCAAACAAAATATTTTCGAGGATATCGGAAAGAGCGTATTTGAAAATGCCAGCAAATGTTTCTCCCTTAATTTAAGCCTGCGTATAAATTGTCGAAATATACCCCAAATGTTAATGCATTTTGAGCCGGAAAGTTGAAGATTTTCGGATCTCTTTTCTTCGTTTTAGAACTTAGTCATTTTGTACTTTACAAAACTCTTTTACACATGGTTTTGTAGCGAATTGAATGACGATTTTGATGGGAAAAAATTGGCCCGATCAGATTTAAACTGACAGAGTTATAGAGGAAACAAAATAGTCCGTTTTATTCTGCGCCACCCGTTAATACCTTTCGAAAACCGTTTGCATTCATTCTGGTGTCAGTACAGCAAGTACTTCCATTGTGATCAAAGGCCGCCCATATCATCACACTTGTTAGGAAGCGTAGAAAATCTCATTCAGGAACTCTAGAAATTCTCATTCTCTGACGTAATGTCCCCGTTCTCTGATGCAATTCCGTTATTGCATGGACACGTTATTACGTCGTTTTTGTTCTTACATCATTTCCTGTTCCATCCTTCCAAAAAGAGCTCTTCGTAATTGCGCAAGAACATGGTCAAGGTAATTACGCAAGAATATGGTCATAGTTATTGCACCTCAATACTCAAGATAATTGCTCAATATTCCGTATATAAATAGATCGATTTTCTTTGTTAAAATCAGAGAGAGAGTTTCTTTTCTCTGTAAATAAACTACTATTCACTCGTATTAGTTAGTATTATATCTGAACAAGCTTTTGTTAATAAAATATGAAAACATAATTCATTGTTGGCACTGACACAAAGAAGGATACAAGTTACCTAAAAAACTCTACATAACACACTACCGCCACCTATATTTCTCCTAGGGGAAAATATCTTTTCTTTAAGCAAATCGTGCCAATAGTAGTTAAAACCATCAGGCCCATCCAAATTAAATCTTTTTTCGTCCGACCACACTACTTTTCCCACTCGCGATTCCAAATTATATGGTCTATTGCTCATTTTAATCGTTTGGCCTTATGAACTTTGGTTAACGGTGGAGATGATTTCTTTTTAGCAAACTTTGGAGCTTTGAGCTTCGAGGAACACGATTTACGGTACATCTTGATGCTTGGATGCATAATTCGTCGATACTTTTCTTGCAAGATAAACTTTAGTTACTAGCTTTCCTTATAATTTCCCGTGTTAATCGATTGTTTATCATCGATTTTCTACCAATTCGCTTTTTTGTGTTGTATTTAGTTGGATTAGATATATAATTATTAATAACAGGAAAAGATCGATTGATTCTTTTAGCGATTTTGTGATTTCAAAGCTTTCTTCGGTGTAATAAATCAATTTGGCCTGTTTCTTGTTTGGAAAGAGCACAACCTCGGCACATTTTTTTATTTATATTTTAGAGGAAAAATGTGTGAAAAAAAAAATTTAAAAAAATGTTAGATATTAGGTGTATGAACCATGAGGTCATCTTAAACTTGGTTTTATGGAGCACCGTCTGATTTGAAAGAGCGCAACAGACTGAACAAAATGCGCCATTCGAATGACTTTTAGTGTGAGAATTTGGCATGTGAAAAAGTGAAACTAACAATTTTTAAAGTAATAAAAGTCGTCTCTTTTATCTAAAAACTGATTTTCAGCACCTTCACTAACGAAAGAACCTCCCGAGGTGTCCCCTTCCAATT